GGGGGAGTCACTGTTCCCCCGAGCACTGCTAGGAGTGACCAGGAATAACAGTCACAAGCTGGCAGAGGGTAGATTTAGGCTAGATATCAGGAGGCGCTACTTCACGGTCAGGGCGGCTAGGGTCTGGAACCAACTTCCAAGAGAAGTGATGCTGGCTCCTACCCTGGGGGTTTTTAAGAGGAGGTTAGATGAACACCTTGCTGGGGTTGTTTGACCCCAGTACTCTTTCCTGCTATGGCAGGGAGTCGGACTAGATGATCTACTCGGGTCCCTTCCGACCCAGAAACCATGAAACTATGACATCTCCTAACAAAACACTTGACAAATTTCTCTTTACAATATTACTTTTTGGGGATATATGAGAGAGTACTTAAGGCCTTGCCTATACCTGGAAGTCTTCTGGTAAAGGAGTGTAACTTTGAAACGTTACAGCTGTTCATAGATTGTTAGGGGCTGGAAGAGACCTTGTAGATCATCAGGTCCAATCCCCCTGCACTAGCCAGGAAAAGACAACTGGGGTCAAGTGACCCCCGCAAGGTGACTGTCCAGTCTCCTTTTGAAGATTTCCAGGTGATTGCACCACCACTGGAGGGAGCTTATTCCACAGTCTGGACACCCTGACTGCAAAGGAGTTTTTCCTGAAATTGAGCCTGAAGCAGCCTTCCAAGAGTTTGTCTCCCCAGGGGTGCCCCAGCGAACAGCTGTTCACCAAGTTCTCGATGTACTCCCCCGATGTGGCGGTAAGCTGCTACCAAGTCCCCTCTCAGCCTTCTCTTCTGAAGGCTGAAGAGGCCCAAGTCCCTCAGCCTCTACTTGTATGGCTTGTCTTGGAAGTCCCTGATCATCCAAGTAGCTCTTCTCTGCACCCTCAAGTTTTTCCACGTCTTTGTTGAAGTACAGCGCCCAGAACTGGATGCAGTACTCCAGCTGTGGTCTCACCAGCACAGAGTATCACTTCCTTAGTTTTGCATGAGATGCAACGGTTAACGCATGCCAGTGTGTTGTTTGCCCTGCTGGCCACAGCATCGCACTGCATGCTCATGTTCACACAATGGTCAATCACTACCCCATGGTCCTTTTTGGCTGTGGTGCAAGTCAAAATGTCGCCACTGAGCCTGTAGGTATGTTGGGGATTGTTTGTCTCCAGATGGAGCACCTTACGCTTCTGAGCGTTGAACTTCATCTGGTTCCGGTCCGCCCAACTCTCCAGCCTGTCCAGGTCCACCTGCACCTACAACCCATCTTCTGGCATGACCATGCTCCCCCATAACTTGGTGTCATCCACAAACTTGGCCAGCGAACTTTTCACACCCACATCCAAATCATTTATAACCGTCTGTGTGGACACTGTTCCATGATGACTGCCTGTGTGGACCCTCTTATTCCATGCAGCAAGCTGTTCTACTCAGTTGCCCCATGTCAACATGTAAACTTGTCAGTAGCTAAAGAGAAATAAGTAACTAATGCAGTGCTTATATGCCTCCCTATAACAAGAATCTGCATAATGAGAACACTTCAGTGATGCTAGTAGTAGCGGTTTATTTGACAGGTTTAGGAGTCTGCAGAAGTCCTGACAAAATACATTTTCCTCATAACTGCATTTTTAGACAGACTAAGAGGTGAACAAAAAAAAACCCAAAACAAAACTATGGGAAACGACTTCAGTGCTAAGAGATATCTGTACATGTAGCAATAGCTTGGTAATTCTTACTTTGTTTTACCTTAACAAGGGGACTTAGATTACACACACACAATTACTCAACACATCTAAGAGAAGTGTTCACAGAACACCCAGGATACTTTTTTAAACATGTTAATGTGAACGAAGTGCCAAAGTAACCGAAGTGCCAGGCCTGGAGACCAAAGTCCTCTATCCAATTTTAGCACAAATTGCAACATGCAAATTTTCCACATGACACTGCCAATGTCCCTGAAAGTTGATGTGGAAGGACAATACGTCTAGGCAAAAGAGTTCAGTTTCCATGGTCATTAATTACTTAGCCTCTCAGCTGAGATTGCAGGTAAAGGCAACAGTTGTACCACAGCTGTTTCTTTCTTGGAAACTGGACTGAGACAGGCTTACAGACCTCCAATGAGAACTATGAATTACTACTATAAGAGGTGGAAAGTTGTATTGTGCATTACCAGTTTTGCTAGACATCTTGAACATGAAACTTGCTATTGGATCTTTGCTACAAAGTGACTGATGAAAAGAACTTATGTTTATAAGAGGGACTAGTCATGTGCTAAGTTTTAGAACAATAAAATTAGACTAAACAGAAACACTGCTCTTTAAAATGTACTAGGAAAATGGAAAAGTCTCTTTCCTCATCATGTTTCTATCCTGCCAGTGACCCTGGAGATATTAGGTATTCACTCGTCATGGTGATGATCTTCAAACTGAACTCACACTGTGCCTACTCACTGCAAATATCTAGGTACAACCTATAATGATATTCATGGTGTAAGCTGCAATCCATAGACATGACAAGATACAAGTCAAAAGAAATACCTGCTGATTCAAGTCAGAAACGGAAAGCAGTATTTAGATGCTTTTGCCCAGGTTTCGGACAGCATATCAAGCACCAAAAGCTTCAGCATGGTGCTTGCCAGCATCAGACCAATATTTCCATGAGCAGGAGGGTAGCAGGGCGTTGTGAAGAGCACTGAGCCTTGAAGGAAACAAAATCGCCGGCAAGTAACATGGATATTGAGGCACTACAGAGCATGGCACCCACCCTCTGTTAAGCCCCGGGTCGCAGCTTTCTACACTGCAATGGGTTGGTTTCACCGTCTCAAAAAGAAAACCCAAAACATCCCTTTCTACAAGGAGCCTTTCCACTGGACAAAATCCCGAACCCCAAAACACTGTGTGAACATTTCACCCCATGTCAGGCCAATTCCAAAGCTGCTTCCAGCTGGTGTCAACCTCCTCCTTCCCCCCACAGCAGGCAGGGAGCCTCCCAGGCAACTGGCAATGCCCAGCTTCAAGCAGGGCCCTGGACAGCGGGTCCTGCTTCCCCTGGGGCTGGGGCTGCCATGTGGGCACCTCCTCCCTGCCCTGCACTACCCCAGGCCCCGCCCCCAAGCCATCGGCCGCAGCCCGACTCGCTGGTCGCGAGGGGCCGACTTGGTGGTGGAAGCCTCCTTTGCCGCATTCGCATCACCGCTTTCGCCCATTAAAAAAAAAAAAAAAAAAAAAAGAAAGAGAGCTCGGAGCACTCACCTTCCCTGGCTCCCCAAGCCCGCTCGCTCAAGGCTTGGGGAAAAAAAGCAAATACAACAATTTCCGCCGGCTCCTCGTGGCGAATCGGCTCCTGCCAACCCTGCAACCCCGCCCCCGCGCCGTCCTCCCTCCCGGGGGGCATGCTGGGAGCTGCAGTCCTGCTCCCGCCCTCCTTTCCCCGGTCCTGGCGGCGCCGGGACTACGCCTCCCAGAAGGCGGCGCGAGGGCCAGCTCCACCTCCCACCCCTTCCTGGCCGACTTCCGGCCGAGGCGGGAGCGGGCCAGCGGGTTGA